GCCTCCCGACCGCGGTACCACCGCCCTGTCCCCGCCTCCTACCGGTACCGCCCAGCTCGCGCGCCAGCAATTTCGTGGGCCTCTCCTCCGACGAGGCCTGGACCCCGCCTCAAAATTTGCAGTCCCACTGCCCGATTCGGGCCTCCTCCCAGTGCTGCCCGCCTCCCGAGAAATTCGCTGGGCCCGCGATAGGGCATGTCGCCGGGCCCTCTCCATCCCTTAGTAAGTATAGAGATAGAGAAGATTATTATCCGATTTAATGATTCTCCCTTTCTTCCTTTTCCTTCATAACCCCCCCCTTTTCTGGAAACAGAGCAAGGTGAAGTTCATTTTCCCATTGCCAACACAAGGTTGTAGCATTTCACAAGTTGTTTCCTTACTCATACAAGAAGACAGCCATGATGAGTGTCACACAAAATGGGAAACCAAGATGGAAGCTTTCTGCAAATACTCATATCAGACACAGTCACAAGAGCTCAAAACAAGGCAATGAAAAGATAGAAACGTCACACAGAAAGTGCAATGTGGGTATATCGAGTGCATCAGGAACAAACAAAGGAAAACTTCCGAAAAAGACACCAAGCACAATCCCCTGTTTGCCTCTTACCTGCTTGAACTGTAACTTGGTGTGGGTAATGAATGAGCCCATGGTGAACAGAAGATACCACGCCAGTAACATTGCAATGGAAAGCCACACAACGCTGTAGGAGGTCGGGAATCCAAAAAATTTCAGATATGCCTCTCCCGCCTTCAAGTCTAAGGGTACGAACGACATATTGACCCTTTGGAAGCAATATTGTACAGCGGGTGATGGAGACAGGCTAGAGCAAGGCTGCACAAACATAAGCCCAAAAACCCAGAACCAATGGAAATTAGGGGCATCTCAAAAAAATTCAGATGTGGCTCTCCCGCCTTCAAGAGTAAGGGTGCGAGCGACATATTGACCCTTTGGAAGCAATATTGTACAGCGGGCGATGGAGGTAGGCTAGAGCAAGGCTGCACAAACATGAGCCCAAAAATCCAGAACCAATGGAAATTTGGGGCATCTCAGTTTCCCAGTGTATGTGTCTGGCTTGTTGGTGTTGATGTGCAAGCCTATAATGTAATAAAACTTCTGAAAGTATACAAGCGTAAATCAAATGTTTGCGCAGAACTATTCTGTGGAGTGAAATAATGAAAATTCTTCAAAAATGTTAAAAAAACAGACTGTCTGATCAAAGGTTCACGTTAAACGACTTGTCATTCAGTGTGAAATGGAATGACACGGTTTAACAGTAAAACCAGACTATGGAATGAGTGTGAAAAAAGAATAGACAGAAAAGGGACGAGTACAACAATATATCGTATAAATTAACAAAAAAAACAACCCAAGAAGTGGCAATAACTATAAAAGGCCATGAATCAGAAAGGAAAAAGATCTTCTGACCGTTATGCCCAACAAATTCAAATAAAATGCCAGTTTGCTTCTGTCTGTAAACCATCCACAAGGTCCAAGGTTTGACTTTCAAGAAGTACAAACCAAGTGCCGGTTCTTTAAAGAAGTACAAAAACATTTCACCAAGTGCCAGTTTGTCTTTCAAGAAGTACAAAAACCATCCACCAAGTGCCAGGTTGTTTGTCAAGAAGGACAAGACCGTCCACCAAGTGCCAGGTTGTTTTTCAAGAAGGACAAGTTCATCCACCAAGTGCCAGGTTGTCTTTCAAGAATCACAAAAGCCTTTCACCAAGCGAAAATGGCATTTAGCTATCATGTCAGGCCCCCACCATAAGACCAGAGCCAAGTAAACAGGTCACCATAGAATCCAAGAACTTAGCAAGTACGAGTTTCTCTGGCTGCTCATTTCCTCCTCATCAATTCAATTCTGCCAAGTTTTGCTACTGCAAAACATTCAGGACCAGTGTCATGGCGAGGCCACCTCGGCTGCAGTGATGACTTGCCCTCCGTATGAAAAGCATGATGATAAGTGGACATGAATGATCTTGATGGTTTGAGGAACGAGGGTAAGGAGTACGGCTTTCAGCAATTGGAAAACAATGGACAGAAAGGGGAAAATTTTGAGTTGAGACCATACTTGCAACCGCACAAGCCGCACATTCGTGTGGAGTTCCATGCGGAGTTCCGTGCGGGGGGTGCCTGTGCGGAATCATGCAAGTTTTTTATTTTTATTATGATTATTTTATCTTTTTTGGGAGGGAGGACGGGGGGGCGTATGACCGGAAGATGGGGATATGGCGAGGAGAGGGGGATATGGAGAGGAGGAGGATGTGGACGAGGAGGACGAAGAGGATAGCGAGGACGATGAGGAGGAGCAGTTAAGATGGGTGAGGAGAAGAGGTGGACGGAGGGAAAAGAGGAAGGGCAGGACGAGGAGGACGAGTGGGAGGAGGAGAAACCATGGACGGCGAGGAAGGGGAGGAAGGGGAGGACACGAGGAAGGGCAGGAGATGAGGAGGCATGGAAGATGAAGAAGTACAAGGAGGATGAGGAAGGCAGGAGGAGGAGGACGAACAGGAGTAGTACGAGTCGGAGGAGATGAAAAGGAGACGGGAGGAGGAGACATGGAGGATGAGGAAGGGGAGGGGGAGCAAGGTGAGGCAGCACTCCTGTAAATTTTTTTTTCAGCCCGCTTACAATTTTGGCGGGCGGACTCAAACGCACTGTTTCAACCCCGGCCTTCTTTTTTTTTCTGAGGGGGGTGACGGGTCGTTCCCCTCACACGTCGTGCGCCGCACAGAGGAAACCGCAAGTATGATTGAGACCGTTGAGCACGGTAGACAGAACAATTGGCCCGGGGAAGGGGAGGAACTTTTTCAGTGGGAAGGGGGGCAGAGGCGGAAGGGAAACAACGGTACAGAAAATGGAAAACAAGAAAGCAAAACACAGACAAAGGAACTTGACCATCGAAATACTCCTTAGAATTTTGCAAGGAATTGATCATGGCGTCCTTCGGGACATCCATTAAAATTGGAATGATACAGAGAAGATTAGCATGGCCCCTGGACAAGGATGAAAAAAAAAAAAAAAAAAAGGAATTGATCATGGAGTCCTTCGGACGTCCGTTAAAATTGGAACGATACAGAGAAGATTAGCATGGCCCATGTGCAAGGATGACACGCATAAATCGAGAAATCGTCCAAATTTAAAAAAAAGAAAAAAAACAGGAATTGATATAATTTACTAATGGAAAACTGACATTATTGACACTTCCTTTGACTGGAACTCCATTATTACCCCTGCGAGAATGTGCATCGATGATTGGACATCCTATTCGAACAAGAACCAAAATAGCAATGGGGAGAAACATGCATTGGTGAAATATGAACCACTGCAGACAAAGACCATTTTTTTAACCGATCAAGTCCGAGGAATGTCAAGGAGATGATTCTTTTTAATCTTTCTTTTCCCCAGTACTCCAAAGTTAATCCAAACCATTGGTTAAGATCCTCCCTCCCTGAGTGGGATAAGCAGTACATTAAAGAAATTGGAAAAACAGGTAAACAACGCAAATCACCTTGTCGTATCTGTCTGACAAAAACTCGTTTAGCGTGACAGCTGTGTAACCCCACTGCAGAGGAGAAATGTAGTAAACCCAAATCCACCAGTCACGGATCTTGTTCTTCGTGACGAGGAAACCAGAGAAGAGCAAGAAGATGGCGATCGAAAAGCCTACACATAGAAGTCAAGATGTCGTGAATGGTCACTGATGCCTTCATCCTTTTTGAGTTTGTTTTCCAATACCTAGCAATATCGAGCTGGTGGTCGATGGAGGAGTTGCAATACTCTCTCCTCCATTCCTCACTCCGTTTATAAGATTGCTTTAACATATAACATTACTATACATAATACATATGACAACTATAACAAATACGATATTACTATACCTGTAACATTACGGTAACAATTGACAACACTAGAACATAATTCACATTACCACAATTAGCACTACCACATAAGATTCTACCTGTTGACCAAGAACCTTCGTGTGTGCCATTCACTCACAAGGCAGAGGTAACAGTGGTGTGCAAATGATCGGGAAGTCATGGGAAATCTGTTCAGGAAAGACTATGCTGGAGCTGGTTCAGATCTTGCCACAGAGACTGATATTACTAGCAGAGTTTTGCAGACACCAGGAATGGGTTTGCAAATCACAAAGCCAGCAGCATGCCAAGCTCCATTGCCATGAGTGTTTCAATTTCACCACTGTTAGCATCAACAGGAGGACCCTGTGAATTCCAAGGTCCAACGAGCACGACGGCGCTGCTCGGCAAAATGTTTCTGATGGTCCAGATTGCAAAGGGGGGAGTGAATCACTATTGTAAGGGATGCTGGATCCAGCTATGAATAAAAATTGATCCTTTTGTTAAAAGAAAAAAAAAAAAAAAGCAAGGGCCTCTGCTGCAGGTTAATCCACCTTTGCCGGGCATAGATCCGCGAACATCCAAGAGACGCTGTTACAGTGTTGGGAGAAGCACATGCCTGGAGGTCTTAGCGGGCTACCTAAAATACCGTGGAACAAGGTGCTCTCAATCAGTAACAGTAGGGTCAGAAGTATGCAACGGCTCATAACCTACCTGGCCCTCCCCAACAACACATGGCTGAGCAAACATGGTTCCAAGCCCATAGGAGCCTGGATCACAAGAGCTGTGCAATATGTGACAGGGGGAGGAGGGAAGACATCAGGCACCGCATGCTCCACAGCCCAAAGACGGAACAGCTGTGGGCAAAGACGGAACAGCTGTGGGCAAAGACCCGGAAGCTACGGAGTGTAAACTGAAGAGAGCATCATTACACGCACCTGTTTCCTGCAATCCAAGGGACTCGAAGAATGGGAGAGTGTAAACTCCACAGGAGATTAACATCTCTGGTGCTCTGCTGTGGTCTGGAAAAAGAGATCCAAGGAGACAATAGACAGACAGCAGGTACCCTTGGAGGAAGCCTGGGAGGGACAAACAAATGCTGGTGACCGAATACCTCACGGAGTGGAATAGGGTAAGCCCGGAAAGGAGATAGATTAAGAAAAAGCCAGAAAAGAAGCAAGAAATCACAGAAAAGTTCATTAAGGATACAGACGGGGAGGAAAGGTGAGCTCTCTGGAGGCGAGCAAAATCACGTTGAAATGGAGGGTAGCAGACAGAAGAGGAGTAAGTGTGAGGCAAATCGGAAAGGTTCAGCCGCTACACAGCTTCTCAGGAAATGCAAGTGTCAGCCTCGCTCAGTGTGAGGGCCCGAAAAGAAATGGAGCAGAGGAGCTGACAGGGAATACTGAAGAGTAGGACTGGTGCAGCTGAGAGCTGGGAGTTTCCAGCCTGGCTGTTTGGTTGGAAAAGGGTAGGATGAATAGAGGGAGGGGCGTGCCGGACAATTAATCCTTCCAAAGGGAAGCACTCAATACTGACAGGGTCCCTTGGGCCAAAACTTGGGGAACGTTGAGTCTGTGTTACACCATTTTCTTCTGGGACGCTGGGCCCTGTTCCCAGCAGGCGACACCCCCCACCAGTAGACAGGGGTGGGTTGATTTAAAAAAAAACAAAGCAAAGGGGAGAGATCTGAGAGTGGAGTACAGTGCAAAGTTTCTAAAACACAAAACTGATATAATGTCAGCTTCTGAAACAAGGGCATGCAGTATGACGGGTGAACTCAAGGGCAAACAAAAGCCAGGGTGGAGTCTGAACACTCATTATATTCTTCTCTTTTTTCTTTTTAATTGCCGATGGACCACGGATCAGATATTAAACTGACCAGAACAGATACTACACCTGATCTTATCCAAAAGGCCGAGAAAGGTATACTCATTATGTTCATATAGTCTGACACAAAGGCAGATGCAAGAATATTTTCTGCAGACTGCCTGGCATGGTGATGATGCTGGGCCTTCTGGAAAAGGAGGAAACCCTACTCCCCCTCTCCCTCAGATGCCAGGATAGTCCCCTCTCAACAAACACCAAAAAAGAAGGAAAGAGAGAAAGCGAGCAGTACCTGTAAGCGAGCCTGCAGCTTCACGTGTTGGGCTAATTGATGAGAAGAACCGCACTTTTGCAGATGCTACCATAGCTACCAGAAAGACAAGAAATACAAACATGACGAAGTTGGCTCCACGATGATCACGACTGAAGCCTGAAAGCCAATACACCAATGGACAGTAAACCAAAGCCTGCAGAAAGATATACAATAGACAAACAGGGACATCCGATCAGACTGGCGGGTCAGGCATGAGAAAATTTCCCAGTAACAAGAACCAAGTGGCAATCCCCACCTCGTGTTGTAAAATGATTTCTTTCTTCTGAGAACAAATGATACATGGTTTGGGTTTGGCTTGCACCTCACACCCTAAGGGGCACTACCCCCTCCTCTGCACTCAAAAAATAAACAAGGGCTGGGTGGGTGGGAAAGGGACTCAATCCTTTACTATATCATAGCCCCACATGACATTAAAACAGGCCCCAATACGGCTACATGCAGCAACAGATAGCCGCACAACCCAGACTGACAAAGTAAGATAGGGTATCGAGTGTGCAGGGTTTGAAGGGGCTCTATGGGAAAATAACCTTGGAGCAGAACAGGCAGGTATTTACCACGGGTTTATCAGACGTTGCAATTTATGGGACTGAAAAATTACGGTAGGCGGTCTGAGCATGAGTTAGCACCACTTGCAGAAAAGAGGAGGGCAGGTAAGAAGGGACAGGGGAGACTGTGGCTTATGAGAAGGATGGCTAAACGGATGTTCACCCGCTAGCTTGACAAGGGGCGACCTCTTTCTAGAAGGAATAGACTATTTTACAGATCTGGGTTTCAGTGTAGCACGGCAAGCTGACAGTCAATCCTCCATCAAGGTGGAGCAATCAATGCTGCTCAGGGGTCCTTCGGCCAGACGGAAGGAAGCGTGCGTGGTTCTTCAATGTAATGTAGGTTTTGACTTGCCGGTGGAATAGGAACCGGACTGACGCTCCCCAGAATAGAAGGAGCCAGGACCACAAGGCCCTGTTTTTTGGGAAAAAAAAAAAAGAAAAAAGAAAAAAAGAGTTAGCACCACTTACACAGAATCAGCACGCACTCTGCTAAACTAGTTGCTACCGGCCATTCATCAATTGGCCACCAGAAGGCAAAAGGCAACCTTCGTGAGGACTTTACTGTCGTTTGAGAACTGGGACAGCTGGGCTATAATACTTGGAATGGGTAGGACGGGTTTCATGTCTGCTCGTTTGGGAAGCAGAAGCCATTCCAGGTGTCCCCCTGGCGAGCCATTACTTCATGATGTGCATAACTCAGTTACTGGGAGCGTGTGTGTGTGTGATACATGCTCAGTTGAACGATGTAACCCCCACCGTCCCCAGTTGTGTGTTTTTTTGTGTTTGTGTGTGTTGTGTGTGTGTGTGTGTGTGTGTGTGTGTGTGTTTATATGTGTTTGTGTGTGTTTGTGTGTGTTGTGTGTCTGTGTGCGTGTGTTTATGTGTTTGTGTGTGTTGTGTGACTGTGTCTGTGTGTCTGTCTGTCTGTGTGCGTGTGTGTGTGCTGTCAGTTTTTCCTTTTGTAATGGCCCGCCAAAAACACAGACTGCGAACACTGCTGATTTCTGGGATTTGCCGCTGGAATGAATTCCTTGCTGAGATTCCCGCATTCTGCTGTGATTTCCATGTCTGTGTGTGTGTGCGTGCCTGCTGGTTTGCATGCCCATCTAAGTGCTTGTCGGCTGAGTGTGTGTGTGACCCACAAGGGTACTTGTTGGTTGAAAGGCCCCGCAGGGCCGGTACTTACCTGTGGCCGTGACTTTGAGGGTTGCAGCGGGGAAAACACTCGAATAGCGGGGGTAGGCCCGTGACACTTAGAGCAGAGGGGAAAAACACTCAAGTAGCAGGTAGGCCGGTACCACTCAAGTAGTGGTAGGAGTGTCGGGTACTGGAGGCCGAGCAGAAGAAGACAAAAAGTTGGCATTTTTAGAGGCCCAGTAGCGGTAGGCTAGAGGTAGGCCGGTACCAGTCCAAGTAGCCCGGGTCTAGGGCCTGTCCGGAGGATAGCAGAGCCTGCAATGATGTTTCCCTCTGAAAGGGAGGAGGTACCGGTTGCTGGGAGGCCGCTCGGCCTAGGAAGTCACCGCCCAAGAGGCCAGTAGGCCGCTATATCTTCGGGAGGAGCAAGTAGCTCCTCCTCATTTGCAGTATGCAAGGATTGGCGACATGCTGCTGGAGCACAGCGCTGGACTGGTACAGCGCTGCCTGGAGGTGAAGGGCAGCTGGGCGCTCAGCCTGGCTATGGTGAGCAGCCCAGCCCGAGGAGGAGGAAGAAGGGGGGCGAAGGAGGAGAGTGGCGAGGCACCTACCTGGCTATGGTGAACACCATCTTCATCACCTTGTCGGGCGCTGCATCTGGAAGGCCCCAATTGGGGTAGTGCCGCACTGTTACATGCCCAGTGGGCGATGTACATAGAAACCGAGGATCCGCAATGTGATAAAAAGGACTGAATGGACAATGCAGTGTAAGTAGAATCACAACAAGCAATGTGCATTCTGATACATACAAAATGGTGCTGAGTAGCGCAGGGAAGACTTAGATACAAATCCTGACCTGACCGGGACTGACCTCATTCACGTAGTACAAGATAGCGAAGCAGAACGCTAGGATACTAATGACTAGCCCAATCAATGTTTCAACGCAGACCAAACATACATCATGCTCATCACAAGGTGTGAAGGAGCCTGGCGCTATTACATAGGAAGGAAGCACCAGGTCCAGACATACACAGACGAAGAGGAGGGGATCAGACGAAGAAGAGGGGGAGAGATGGGAGTGTCGTCAACACCAAGTCTTTGTCACAAGTCCCAAATAATCCCTCGTCGAAATGTCTGAAGCCCAAAAGTCGAGTCTGGATCCAATGTCACCAAGCTCTCTCTCTCTCGTAGTCTGCTGATGCAGTGAAGTCAGATAATGAGAGGGTGAGAGGGAGATGGTGGACTGAGAAGAGGAAGAAGAAGAACTCTCTCTCTCTGTCACAACCCAGGTACTAACCTGTGAAGTTGGCGCTGTGCTGCAGGTACCTCGAAGACGAAGCTGGAGCAACGGCACTGCAGGTAGGTACCTCTGGCCTCCGCCCAATCTCTCTCTCTCTCTAGTGCTATCCTAGCTATGACGCCCAGTGCTGAAGACTACAGCTACCTACTGGCGCCCAGCGCTGAAGACTAAGGCTAATGCTACTACTACTCCTTCAGCGCTCCCTCCAGAGTGCTGCTGCCGAATCCTGAAGACTACTGACTGCCTCCTGCCTCCCCGTGAAGTGCATGGGAAGTCCCTATGTACTATCTCGGCCTGCCTCCTGACTGCCTCCGCCTGCCTGCAGTGGCAGGGCGGGCAGTCCAGGAGGCTGCTCTTGCCAATGCCGAACAGAGACAGGGGCTGGCGCTGCAGCTGTCGTGGGAACAGGCCAAAAATAGCCTGTTCCTAAAACCATGGTTCGGTGCCTGAGTTTCAGGGCCGGCCGGTCTGATGACAGACCGGAAATGGCCCTTTGTTTCAGGCTAAAAAGGCTGCTGCCATTTTTAGTCTGAAACGACACAGGGTCTGTAGGCCCCTGTTTTCCAGGCTTTCGAGCTGACTGGTCACGGGGCCTGTAGGCCCTGGTTTTCAGGATTTCAGCCTGAGGGACGCAGGGCCTGGAAATTGGCCCTCGTGTGCAGGCGCAGCATGTAACACGCACCAAGGAAGCTCGAGGCAGAGTCGGGCATGGCGGATCAGTCAGCAGCGGCATAGCTGCTTTGGGTTGTCCTTTGGACAGGAGTGCAGCGCCATAGCTGCCTTGGGTTGTCCTTTGGACAGGAGGGCAGGGCCCTCAGTAGTCCGCCATAGCCTAGGCATGTGAGAGGAGGAAGGAGGAGGGAATCCATAGCTATGGTGGTTGTTGTTGTTGTTGTTGTGTCAGCAGTAAGAGGGAACTTCGGATATTGATTCTGGTTCATCCACTCATTGTTATTATTATTATTGGGAGAAGAATAAGATTGGTGAAGTGAAGGAGGAGGAGGAAGGTGGAGAGAGAAGGCGAGAATTGTCATTGGTCTTGCTGGTGTACATCTTCTTCTTCTTCTTCTTTCTCTCTCCTCTGGTCTCTATCTCTTTGCAAGTGCTTTCATTTCTTTCGCAATTGGGTGGCATTGTCTTTCATTGTGAATTTGCACTTCGGGAATGACCAGGATCGTAACACTTTTTTTTATTTGTTTTTTTATGGTTTTGATTTTTTTTTAAATACATGAAGTTAAAAACAAAAAAAATGTTGTTGTACACAGGGTCACCAGCCCGTATGTACGGAGGTCCCCGGGCAGACCTCCGTACGTACAGCCGTTCGGGGTCCCGTACGGGGTCCGAACCTGATGGGCTTCGGCCCCCGCCAAAAATTATTTCGGGGCCTAAAAATATTTTTTTTTTCTGAATTTTTTTTTGTGAGATCTCTATGACGTGAGGTACATGCCTATAAATTTTCAAGTCATTTGGCTCAGCCTAATAAGAATTAAAAATCGCCAAAGATGGCGGTGTCAAAACGTGCTCGCCCACGTTTTTTTTCACTTTTTACTTTTTGTTTTCACTTTCGTTTGGGGTCTAAACAATTTTATTATTTTTTGAATTTTTTTTAGTGGGTTTTGAATTATGTGAAGTCCACATCTGTAAATTTTCACGGCATTTAGCTGTGCCAAAAAAAAAAGAAAAATCGCCAAAGATGGCGGTGTCGAAAATGTGCTCGCGCACTCACTAAATTTAATTCTTTTTTTATTTTTTGTTATTTTTATTATTAGTATTGTTTTTCGTATTTTATTTTACTTCAAATTTGGTAAGTGTGAGGAACGAGCCCTCAAGTGGCCCTATCAGACATCACATTGTTCTGGGCTAAGGCCCCCAGCAAGCCAAGTGCCCGCCCTAAGTGAAGGCGGGCCTGAATATTCGTCAAAGGCAAAATTCGACATTTCCATATGGGGGTATTCAGGCTC